GAGATTTCTTGGTATTACATGTATATGCTTCAGCTGTTCTCTCTATTCAGTTTTTCTTTTAATATGTGACCCGTTTTCGTCTCTCATAATAAATTTTACGATATGCTGGACAGAATGTCAGTTAAGCATTAGACATTCGATACGTTACATCTATATTTGAGTATTCGTCATGATTGAGCGGCAAAATCGAATAAATGAGCTAAAAGAGTGCATTAAAGATCACGTTAATGATTTATCGGCATGGTTGAATTCGTGCGAATTACGAGATTCAATCGAATTTGGTTGTGGTATATTTGCGACGAGAGATATTCAGCCAAATGAGTTGTTGTTCAGTGATAAGCCATTGTTGCTTGGGCCAACTGGAAATAAGCATGAGCCCATTGTATGTGTGATTTGTTTTGAAAAAATTGAAAATGATGTGAGCTGCTTTTTGTGTCCAGGTCAGTGTGGTTTGGTGTTGTGCGGTAACACTGCATGTGCGAATCAACACGAAATCGAATGCCAACTTTTACAAAAATGGAAACCACAAAACCCAAATGAAGTGTCATTTAACAAATTGAAAGCTATGCTCGTTATTCGATCTCTGTTTTTGGACAAAAAACAACGAAATATTTTCAATTTGATGCAGAAAAATTATATAAGCGAACAAAATGACATTTACTTTGATGATGAGTTTGAACATTTTCCGGACGATAAAGAAACAGTTGCAGCATTAAGAGACGCATCAGCTGCTATAAATACGAATACATTCAAAGTTCTCTATCGTTGTGATGGTTCGGATGATGTAAGCGTTCGCGGTTTCTATTCAATTATGAGTTTAGTAAATCACAAGTGCTCTCCGAATGCACGGCATGACATTGACAAACATTTCGTTGGTCGAATTTTTGCCGCGCGACCAATTAAAAAAGATGAACAGATTTTTATATCTTATTCTCAACTGCTGTGGGGTACGAATTCACGACGAATGCACATGATGGTATCGAAACAATTTCTATGCTCATGCAATCGTTGCCTTGATCCCACAGAAAATTCAACGAATTTATCAGCGATTCGATGTTTAAATAAAGATTGTGATGGACTGGTCTTACCCATTGATGCAATTAACTTTAAATCACATGCCAAGTGCAATTTGTGCGAGAAAATGTGCGAAAATCAACGATTTTTACAAATTCAAGAAATGTCTGCGTTAATCACAAAAAATTTCGTAAACAAAGATTTTACACTGTCCGAATTGGATCATTTCATTGAATTTAGGCTATGTAAACTAGTGCCGAAATCGAACCAATTCGTTGTAGAGAGCAAATTAAAGGCGATTCGAATGTTCAGCGGCACAACCTTCGAAGGTTGTTATTCAAATATATTTTATGAATATTTTAAAATAATACAAATCTTCCATCATAGATCAAAACAAAATTCAATGTTTTTGCGAGGACATCTTAAGAATTATTGATAAGCTTGATGTTGGTGAATGTTCTTTGAAAGGGATTTTGGCACACAGATTATACGTCATCCGGCAAAAACTGAAGGAATTTCCTCCGTCGGAATTTGATCTGAACGGCGATGACAGGAAGCGAATGTCAATTTCGGTATGTATATTAATTTTTTGAGTTTAATCAATGAAATTAGTTAAAAAGTGTTTTTTTTTAATAGAAAATTGACGATTTTCTAAATGATGACGAACAACTTTTGAAAACGGCAAAAATAATTTTGAGCAACACCTCAACCGCACCAGCTGATATTTTTGATACATAGCGAGCACCAAAGTTACTTTCATTTCAAACCTAGCTTTAAACATTTCAAATATAAATTTAATGGAATTAACACCATGGATCCAAATTCCATAGGTGGCTGATCAAAATACCTTGTCAAGAAAATGAAGACAAATACTTTTTTCGACTACGAAATTGTAGCCGCATTTATTATTTATTTGTTTTTAATTCGAACATTCGATAATTTTGCTGAAACAAGTGTTTTGGAAAACCACATTTGCGTAATTATATTTGAAAAACTGAAATAATTGTTTTCGGATGAGAATCCCAGATGAACAGAAAGCTCTTACGATCATGTCTATTTACAGTTGGGACTAATAACATCAGACTAGTAAGATAGTTATTACTTATTACTAATAATTTCTAATAACTGGTAATAAGATGTCATCTTATTAGTGTAATAAGTATAGTAATAAGTATAGTTATTAGAATGTTACTAGTCAGAAGACTAATAAGATGCATGTATCTTATTAGTATAGTTATTAGTATAGTTTCTCATCAGTATATTTCGTTTGGTGTTACTAGAAGCAAATACTACTGAAACACGAAAAACAGCAGTAAGGCAGTCAAAATCACAAAAAAACTTCCGGTCGATTTTTCTTCGATTACAGCCAACTACTTTTTCTATCTAGTCTCCGAGAGTTTTATATAAACTCGCCTTGCAATAGCCAAATGACGCCTATTGATTCAATCACGATTGGTATTCGCTTACTATTCAATAGGTATCACATAGCAAGTTTATATGAAACTCTCGGAGACTCGGTATAGAGCACTCAAACAGTGAAAAAAGTCCAGATCGTGATTTAGATGATAAGGAATGCGATTTTTTTTCATTCTGATTTCACCAGGTGATACAGAAAATTGAGTAGTATTTGTAAATCGAAGAAAAAATTTTTAATATTTTTTTTCATTTTTCGCGATTTTTTATACCATCTATATGGGAAGCTTGTATGAAAAACACGGAAGACCGCTGGAATGGCAAACGCCAAATATATACGGACCTACGACAGTGCCATTTCAGCGGTCTTCCGTGTTTTTCATACAAGCATCCCATGTAGATGGTGAAAAATCGCGAAAAATGAAAAAAATAATTAATTTTTTTTTCTTCGATTTACAAATACTATTCAATTTTCTGTACCATCTGGTGAAATCAGAATGAAAAAAATCGCATTCCATATCATCAAAATCGCGATTGGCATTCGGTCACTATTCAATGGGTATCACATAACAAGCTTATATGAAACTCTCGGAGACTGGGTATAGAGCACTCCAAAAGTGAAAAAAATCCAGATCGTGATTTGGATGATAAGGAATGCGATTTTTTTCATTCTGATTTCACCAGATGATACAGAAAGTTGAGTAGTATTTGAGAATTGAAGAAAAAAAATTTAATTTTTTTTTTCATTTTTCGCCATTTCTTACCATTTACATGGGAGGCTTTTATGAAACACACGGAAGACCGCTGGAATGACACTGTCGTATCACACGCGTATAAAAAAATCAATTTCTTCGGCGTAAAAACAAGATCCCGATTGTTGCGAGGAAAAAAAACTAGCATTGATAGCAAAAACACGACATATCCAGCCTGCGGGCAAAAACAAGTAATCGATATATTGTGTTTTTGCTCTCAGTTTTTTACAAACTCTTTTTGTTCTAAAATTTGAAAGTTCTCTATATACGCTGAAGAATTTGCATCATGTTTTTACGCTCAAGTTCTCGAAATTTAAGAGTATTCCCTTTTCGCATAAATAAAAAATGAAAACTACACTTCATTGCTATCTACACAAAAGTAGCAATACAAATTGATGGACGTTTTTGGTCACCTGAGTAAGCTTTCTTCGTAAATGGCATGGTAGTATTTAATTCATTATCAGTAAACTGTATCCAATAAATATCACCAACAGCATCCGCCAATAAATGTGATCCACGAAAAAAAATATTAACTGCTTGGCCATAGTATGTTGTCCCATTATCAAGATCGTATCTTAAAAATGAAATACAAATTCAAATTATTTACCAATATTTTCTTTTATTTGATTTAATTTACTCAAAATTGAATTCGTTATCTCGACTATGGTCCCTTATAAAACGAAACTCTCTGCCGGGCCACCGAATGGCATAAATAGTCGTAAAAGATCAAAAAAACAAAAGCAAACGCCCAACTCTCTGCATTTCTAACGCCGTGTGACTATAATTAGAAACTAAAGAAATCCAGATGAGAATCAACGTTATAAAGTCCACAGCATCGCATAAAGTCATTGAATTCTCCTTTTTCCTTTTTTTTGCTAAAAACTGGAAATAAATGCATAATGAGATAAAAACAGAGTTTTACTCAGCGCTGCTGCCATCCAGAGCACAAAAAATATATACTTGCTGAGAATGGAACAAATGTTAATATTATGCGATAAATGTACAGTTCTATTTTGGTATTATAGATGTTTACATTTGAGAAGAAGAAATATCCCATTCTCAGCAAGATATATTTTTATGCTCTGGTTGGCAGCAGCGCTGAGTGAAACTATGGATAAAAATGTTAAACAATCTAGGAACACTTTGTATGTTTAGTGGTGAAATTTAAATCATTTATAATAAATGAATAACCTACCTTTTTGGTCTTTAGCCGAAACTAGTTTTAATAATGAGTGAAGCTAATAGGTCAGCTCCAATATTTATATTGAAAATAAGAGAAAGGTTAAAAGCGGAACGAAATGTTCTCGCACTATTATCTGTCGTTGTAGATCATAAAGCTCTTTAATAACCATGCCAAAAATGTATTTTCCCATTCATTTCTGTTGTGTTTAGCAGAGTTAAGTTTGAAGTGATTTTATTCATGAAAAGTATTGGTATTTATACAAATTTAGAATAATAGAAAATAGTACATAGAGTGGGATTGACTTTATCAATATATGAATCATTAACATTCGTATTTCAAATTTAGTTTCATTTTTACTGCTTTGTATATACGTGCAAGCGAATATATTAACCTGTTTAAATCATTAACACATCTAGAATCTAATATTTCTCAATAATAATATTGTTCAGATTCATAGTGATGTGTCTAGTTGGCAATAGCCAAACTGAATCTGGTATTTAAATGTTACGAAAGGTTGTTGAACTGTGCGTCACTTAATGACACATTCTTTTATTTGGATTTATTGTCATTCCAGTTATAATGAGATACGATAATGCCTGAATTCAATTTCAAAATATATGCTAAGGATTCAGTCAAGAATTGTGTTTAGACACAATTTTTTGCATTTATTGCTTGATGTATGATGGTGTTCACATATCTCAAATGCGTTGGCATTTCTACATTGTTATGCCATCTATTACCGAAACGTTTGAAACTTCACGCTTTTGTATAGTTTTTGAACTTTCACATACAATACTCACATAAAACATTGTTTTTGTCTATATGATTTTCATACAAAATATCGTTTTTGTATATTCTCTTTTGAGCGCATAGGTTCTGACACTACAAAACTTAGGGGGGTCACGGCCGAAAATCGACGGGGGGTCCCTGCTCTGAAAAACTCAAAAACCCTAAAAAAATGTATTATTTTTGAAATTATGAAAATCTCTTGCAAAATTGAATACATTTTTCTCTGTATAGTATGTTTTTGATGAGGGGAGGTATAGTTCGAGAGCTCGGCCTCGAAAATCCTTAGCAAAATGGAATAATTTTATTCCTTGTGAAAAACCCTAGGAAAATCGAATATTTTCTCAAAATTCTAGAGGGGGTCCTTGGGCGCTAGGGGGGGTCAATGCGACCTATGCGAACTATGTCAGAACCTATGTTTGAGCGGTTCATCTTCATTTATGATTTGAAGAAGATCCTCACAAAAGAGAATACACAAAAACGATATTTTGTATGAAAATCATATGGACAAATACAATTTATGCAGCACGTCATCTAGTTTTCCTTGCATATTTTTTCTGTGTACACTGCTGAAATATGTGCTTATATAGCTGAAGTTCTATAAGTTTAGGTATTTCAACGTGTCAGTAACAGGTATTTAGTTGTTATTTTGATGTTATAACACATTCGTAGAGTATAAGTTCGTCATATTGCTTGATGTACAGTACAGGACAAAAGTTTGGAAACCCTGTGCAAATCTCATAGAAAATTAAGATTTTCGGGTGCTGAAAAATATACTTCCAGTTATCCAATTAAAATAAATTTTGGTATACTTTATCTACATATCAAGTAGATAAAAATTGCAAAATTTCGAAATCAAACATTAATAACTAGTTTGAAACTTATGCATTTTAAAATGTCCAATTTTTGGGAAGCGGGACCTAAAGAAAGGACAGTCGCCATTTTGAAACCACGTTAGGTATTGATGCGAAGCTTTGATATTTCGTTTCTACTTAGGACATAAGAGTACCGTACCAAAATTCATTAAGATCAAATCACTCTAGGGGCTTAATTCAAAATTTTCAACGACTGAATTCTATAATAATATCTAAATTAACTGAATCTTTCTGCAAACGAATGAATTCCGGGGAATTCTACGGCGATTTCATTCAAATATGTGAGATAGTGGTGAATAGTTTCTGCTGGCAACTACTGCAATATTTATATTTTGTTTGACAAAATTGTAAATGTTTTTTACACAGCAATGAAACGACAACAACAATAACACATATTTTTACTGTCAAAATGTTGATGTCAAATCTACCATCACTTACAATGGCAAATAATGTAAAAAACTGCATGATGGCGCCATCTCTATGTGCTCATGAAAATTAGAACAAAAAGTTTGTGTAGAATGTTAATTGTTTGAAGTTTGAATACGGAATCATTTGTTGTGACGTCTGTCATTTTACGCTCGATAAAGATATACCGTGTAAATTGAACAAAAACCGATTTATTATTTGTATTTGGTGAATTTGTGATGGAAAATAAATTGAAATTACTTTGCACAGTTTGTGTCATCGAAATTAACTGCGAGGACGTTGCATATCACATGGTTTTTCTTCACACAAAATCAGTTGACATTTTTGACTTTTTCGCACCAAAAAAAAAATGTTTTAATTGCCTTTGGTGCTCGTTTGGATCGCGAGTTCAATGCCAAGCACATAGAGATGTCGCTCGGAACGTGAAGCTCAAAAAAAATATACAGGTGATATAGAAAGCAAGTGAGGGTAGTCTTTCACCCTTTAATGCAGCACAATCAAAATCTAATTCCAAAAATAGTGCAGTGCAGACATACATAATTTTGAATTTATATGGGAAACCACTTACCGCCTATAAAAACCTCATTTTTACGAAGAAAAATATTTTGTGGTTTAATGTCATTATGCACCACTCCTTTGTTATGAATATAGCTCAGTGTTCGAACCTGAATTTCATGGAGAAATTGAAGGTATTGCGTTATTATAAAATGTTTGAAGACTGTGGTGCATACCGATTGTAAAAACACGTATAAAGTGCTATATATCTCAAAAGTCTTATTTTGGAACTCCCAACGGCTATGCAAACTTTCTTCAAAAAGTGTCATTGCAATGTATGGATCACATCGAAACATTTCTCCATTGGCATACAGATTCGGGATTCCTTTTTCTTCAATTTTCGGATTACGTGTTGCATTCAAGGCTAAATAAACTGACTGCTCCCGTCTCATAATACTTTCATCTATGAAAAATTTGATTGCAACCACTTCACCATCATAAATGGCTGACATAGGAAACATATAAATGGTCATTAGATTATATATAAAAGCGAT